GAAGCCTGGTCATTCCTCAAAAACGTATTTCACTCACAGTATGTCTGTAATTCTGTATGTGAAACCAAATGTCTATTATCACTGTGTTGCACTAGTAATTACATCAGGAAGAAAATAAACAGACTAAGAAGAGTTTTTATTTTTCTGCATGCAATGTGTAAGAAGGCTTAAACAGAAGAGCACGAACCAGACTAGGACACTTGAGAAATTTGAAAGCTGATGACACTAGTTATAATCTTTATTTTACCTCCACATATAGTGTTCTTTTCTCCTGATAATGAGTTTATGAGCTCTGACTAGTATCATTGGGGGCTCTCCAAAATTAAACAGAGAGAAGAAAGAAAAAAGCTAAGAGAGATTTACATGAAATATAGAAGAATACGAGATAAACATATGTATGGAATTGACAGACTATGACCTGTTAAGGAAAGAGGAAAAGAAGAGAATGCAATATTCAGCATTCCAAGTGAGTGGGAAAGGTGTTGAATTAGACATCCACCGAGCCAGGGCAGGGTGCACGCTGTGTGGAGCTGGGGATGGGCGGCTGACCCAGGCGATGCGTGGCTGGTCACCTGCGTGACGAGTGAGTGCAAAGCAGGGGTTTATAACCTGGGAAGGCCTTGTGGGGTGAACTTGGTAAGAATCTGGCTGGTGATCTTTCTAAGGAGCAGTTATTCGTCTGGCTGGTGACTCAGTTGGTGAGAACAGTCAGGAGTCAGCACGGGACAGTGGTGTGTGTTCATGAGCATCACAGTCACAGAGCACGAACAGCTCTGAGCAGTCAGCTCCCAAACACAGGGTGCGGCCAAAGGAGGGGCGGACCAAAGCCCACAGACGGCTCAGGCCAAAGCCCCGGTTCTCCAGAGGCCCGTCCTAACAATACATCATTTTTCTGCATGCCACTTAGTTCCTTATGTAACTGGGGAGGGGCGGGTACAGTAGAAATTAAGTATCACAATCTGAAAAATCCGTAACTATTATCATTCCTAATCTGAAAATGTTTACTGAAAATGATTATTGGACCCAATCTTACAGCGCATTTTTAATGTTCCCAATGTGCTAAAAGTGTACCTGAAGTTACAGTGACATGGAAAGGCCTTTAAAATGACAACACAAACTTTGGCTTCACTAAACAGATTGGTGGCAATAAAATGTGTGTGTGTGTGTGTGTGTGTGTGTGTGTGTGTGTAAAGCTAGTGAATTCCAGCCCCACTATCAGGAGAAGTTAAAAAAAAGACTGAAAAGAAAGGGAAGGAATATTGTTTATAATCGAAGGTATCCCCCCACCCACCTTTTGCTTCTGGACAAGTCAAAGTGAACTAATGCAGTGTTTTTCATACCTCAGGATGATCAATTAACGAGCTGTAAAATGAATTCCATGCATTGCAAGCAGCATTTTTACAAAAATGAAGCAGAATAGAATAGATAGAAAGCAAGAGTTCATCACACTTAGTGTAACTATTGTTTCATAAAATGGTTGTTTCATTTAAGTGTGTGTGTTGCATGTAGTTTTTCGTGGTGTAGAGCATAATCCTTTCCCTGAATCCCAGGAAAGAAAACGGCTTATTAGGAAAGAAGATTAAAGAGAATGTTTGAAATGAGGTGGGAGGATCTTGTGTGGATTTAATTTCATTGGCCTTATCTTGGAAACGAATCACAAAGATGCATTTAATATTACTAATCAACAATTCTAAAGATAACATGCACATCATTATTCACTCATTCAACCAGTGCAGTGTCTATTCCCTCTACATAGAAGTTACGGAGAGATTAAAATTTTTTAATTAAATAGGGTCAGATAGTATAATAATAGCTAACACATACTGAGTGTGTCTGATGGAATTCCAAGCCCTTTATACGGGTCAGTAAGTCATTTGATCCTCTCAATAACCCCTTAAAGGTAAATACTAATATTATCCCTGTTTTACAGATGAAGCATCTAAGAAATCAAGTCAGTTGCCTAAGAGGCAGAGACAGTATCTGACTGTATTAAGTCTGAATCCAGAGCCTTCACTCCTAATGTATCAGTTATACCACAGTCACTCATCACTGAGAGTCAGACACGACACTGGGAAGGAGAAAGGGGGGAACAGACACATAGGGAGACTGGAACCCCAAAGGCAAACTGATGCTATTAACACCACTAGGCTTGCTGTCTCCCCTAATTCTTCCTGGGGGCAAAGTGCAGTCTGCCCAGAGACAGCTAGCTCCTGTGACACTTCGATACCCTGGATGCATTCTGAACAAGCTTCCCAGCAAATCAGCTCAAATGCCATCTCTTTCTTCTCGCCCTAGAAAACGTGTAAGAATGTGGTTGAGTGGGCCCCTAATTTTCTGTAATGAATATGACCCCTATTTGTTTATTTATTATATCATTTATTATTTATTTATTCTGTCCATCGATAGATGAATGGATAAAGAAGATGTGGCAATATAAACACAATGGAATATTACTCAGCAATAAAAAAGAGAGAAATTCTGCCCTTTGTGACAGCTTTGATGGACCTGGAGAGTATATGCTAAGTGAAATAGGTCCAAGACAAATACCGAATGATTTCACTTATATGTGAAATAAAATATAGAAACAGACCCATAAATATAGAGAACGAGCTGATGGTTGCCAAAGGGGAGGTCGATGGGTGAAATTTAAAAATAAGCAAGCAAACAAACAAATGTTAAAATAATTCATTCTCAGGTGCTAGTACTTCAACTTTCCCATGAGCCAATCACGTCGGACACATCTCCCATGTCTTATCTCCACAAACCAGTGACTCCGGCAGCCACAGAGATTCCTGCCAGCCTGGGTGACACAGAGCTTGTAGGGGGACCTCTTTCTTTGCACACACTTGTGTTACTCTCCTCACTGGTTATAAACAGGATCCAAAGAAATCACAGGTCAATATACACTGTGACAAGTGTCCTGTCATGTTTTAGAAAAACCTGAAAGATTTATATGCCAAAGATAACCTGCCCACCCTTGTCCTCAGGTTCTATAGTCAGCCCCCCAGACAGGGCCTATTCAAATAAAAATAACACTATTGTTGGTAGCATGGTCACCTTTCCCAGCTCCCAGGCCCGTGAGTGAGAACCTAGCTATTTAAACACTGAGTCGACACGGTGCTTCTACATATTGAAATGAGAAGGGCGTGCTATTCCCCTTCTTACATATATGATCTGAATTAAAAGGACCAGTGCAAATGAATCCTGAAACAAAAGGGAAATAGTATTTTATGTCATCTGACCACCACAACTGGGCCACATAATTTGAAACTTTTCGCATGAAATCACCTCTGGCCCAACAAACATACTATCTTTCTAATGTTAAAAAATTAATGTATAATGATGAATTGTACATTTTGTTTTGGAAAATTTTTCAAAGTACAATGAAAGACTCAGATAACAGACAAAATCTGAGACTGAAGTATATTTGTGACAAATACTTGACCATACTTGGCTTGTATATACATTCTCCAAGTCATCTGCTAAAAGTAAGGCAATGGTTCAACACACCTTTTAAAAAATACATATAAGCCCTAGCTGGTTTGGCTCAGTGGATAGAGCATCGGCCTGCGGACTGAAGGGTCCCAGGTTCGATTCCAGCCAAGGGCACATGCCCGGGTTGTGGGCTCGATCCCCAGAAGGGGGCGTGCAGGAGGCATCCAATCAATGATTCTCTCTCATCATTGATGTTTCTACCTCTCCCTCTCCCTTACTCTCTGAAATCAATAAAGAAATGTATTTTTAAAAATACAGATAAGGTAGAGTGCTGTCAAAACATTTCTAACTGAATAATCACTGTGTACATGCCAGTGTCAATGTCACACCAGAAGCCAGAAAACAATTCTACCATTTATCACTATCATAACTTTTAGGGTGTTTTTTTTTTCTAGGTATATTTAGGCTACTTCTTTTCCAGGTCAGATGAAACTACTTATTTCTATTTCTACCAGGTATTCATTGTGTCTGCACCAATACTTTCCCCATAGGTCAGGGGGTACATTTTTGGCAGTTTAAAAAAAAAAAAAAGGTGATTCACATATGCACCAACCTAGATGGTCAGCTTCTAAGAAACATGCGGTTTTTGGATGAAAGAACAGTAATGTCTGCACTTTACAAATATGACACTCTTTACTAGTGGTATTACTGGTCCATGCTGGGACTTTTTTGGTGATGATGCTCGTTTTCCTGCCCCATTTGCCCTGTTTCATTAACTACATTTGCAACCAAGAGCATTCATTTTCAAAACAGACGTTCATATGAGAGTTGTAGCTGGTTGTGGGAAGGAGATTTTTTAAAATTGGGCGCTAGGTGACTTATGGGGCAGGGGCGGGGGAGTCAAATGTGAAACTGTAGCCTCAGCAGGCCCAGGGCACTAACGTTATAAGTTACTGGCCAACACTAAAACTGCTTCTCTACCAACAAAAAACAAACATGCATATAATAACCTTCTCAACAGGAGAATTTTAGTTATGGAGGCAATCTGTCAGAGGCCTCTCAAATACAGGAACGAGGGGTGCTCTTCGCTGGGTTGAACAGGGGTACCCACAGCTGAGAAAGACATGGAACTTCTCAGGGAGCAACTATTGTTAGAAAAGGAAGTGGTTCAGGTTTAAAAAATATCCCATAAAACCTTCATTGTCCTCGAGGCAGGTTTTTTTTCCCTGTCTGTGCACGTGGCAGGCTGCCCCCCAGATAGTGGGGTGGAGAAAACAAGGCCCGGGTAGGAGTAGCCCCGCCTTCCACTACATTTTGCTAAGACACACACTTTCCAAGTAGTGTGTTAAAAATAAACAAAAAAATAATAATAAAAAAGACTAAAAACCTGGTTTAATATTCATTTCTGAAAATAACGAAAAGTGAGGGGAGCCCTTTCATAATGCGTATGTCCATCAAATTGTCATGTTGTACACTTTAAATATTTTGCAATATTATCTGTCAATTATACTTCAATGACGCCGGAAAAGTCATGAAAACTTCCAGTTGAGTAAGTTACTCTTTACCTGTTGCTATCGGTTGTGCCTCTTGAAGGCTCTGACCTTCTGCCAGTTCCATCCGCTTTCAGAAACCCGGTCTCCTTATCTGTAAATTAAAAAGGTTAAGGTAAATCTCCGCTAACCTTCCTTTGAATTCCAAATTCAAATGCCGAAATTTAAATTATTCTGTGACTTATTTTCCCCTTCAAATATCTTTGATCTGAATCCTACACTTAATTTCACCATAAAGGGGGGGGGGGTGGAGAGTGGGGGAGACAGGAGAGCTTGTCAAGACAGATTCAAGCATTAACGGTCTGTTTAGCCCTGGACATTCATTTTTTAAGAATGGGCAAATGTAGTAAACTCCCCATGTATTAATTCTAACTTTTGGCAATATTGGCAACACAGTTTAAATTACAGAAATATTCCCCTTTCACAAATATGTATCAGGCCACTTCCCAACCCTTTCGTTGCACGCAGCTGTGCAGCCCTGAACACAACCCAAAGCCAAGAATCCACAAGAAGTCAGTCACTGTGAAGGAGACCTTCAGTCGCCCCTGCTGACGTTCCTTCCCACTGCGGGGGCAAACTGAAAACCGGGGCACAAATATAGTTCTTTGGCCCTTCAGTCGGAAGTGCTGGATTCATTTTCTTCCCATTACTGATGTAGACATACCCAAAATACTGAGACCCTTTGGAATCTATCTGCCTAAATGGTCTGTTGCCTACTGCAATCGCAAGATATATTGTGTGCAACTGGAAATGCCAGATATTCAGGAAATATATTCAGACAGTCATGTTGGGGTACACAGATTTTAAAAGGGAATGCTACTTTCAATGTGTGTTGTGTTGTTTTTTTTAATTACACTATTCTGTCCCTGAGGACTGACCAATAGACTGTAAACTGAAAATATTTACTTAAAAATCTTAAACATCAAGATTATTAAAGTAATGATCCAAACCTAGGGAAATCTTAGTTATTTTTATATTCTATCACTACCTGCTCTTTGAATAAGCAGTATTTTCCTTGTGTGGCAATCATAGGTAATCAACAAGGTAAGACCGAAAGATTTTTATTTAAGCTTTAAATGTTGTGACAACATAATTCAGAACCAACTAGCGCGTGGTTCTGTGGAGACAACGGCAATCGCTGATTCCCACGGGGAGTTAGATACCGAGTTCTTTGCACACGAAGTGAGCTCAGCTTTCTCCCATCTTCCCTCACGCTATGCACCCAATGCTCAGCACTCAGGACACAATAAATGCTGTTCACGCCATTGTTTCTTCTGCCACCCAAATTATTACAAAAACGGAGACAGATCCAAACAAATCCACCCCTAACTGTAAGAAACACAACTAAAACGATGCACTGAGAGTGACCTGGAGTGTTTTTTGTTCACGCCAACAGCAGCAGCTGCCACGGACTGAGTGCTTCAATGAACCGAGCATTCTGTTTACCTTATTTCACGACAACACAAACGCTGAGACTTTAGGACTGTTCCACACTGAAGCTCAGAACTAGCAACCCACAACACACTTACTGTTTCCAATCTTACTTACTGTCCTACCCTTTCACTCACACTTTTAAAAGAAGTGCCTGGCTACCTGCTGTGACTTCTCACGCCTTTCATTATCAATCCAAGTGCCTTGATGAAAGGAATAATAGTTTCTATTTTCACTTCAGTTTCCCCTCTCGGAAAATGGCCAGAAAAATTGGACATGTATGAAATACTTTGAACAAGTTGTTCTTCTTATTTGGGGTTATTAAACTCAAAAACAGTATTTTATGTTGCCAAATACTGTTTAGGTTTCTACCCTCATTTGTCCCCTTGCACCATTAACAATATCCTTTTCAGTTCCGTCCTCCTCTGGTTTGGTACAGTCTTGTCCTATGACACTTCGTTCATCTTTCGAAATGAAGGGAGGAGGAGACAAATGCGGATGGAGTGGGCCATGGCAGGGGCTGGGATTAGCTCCCTCTCCCGTATACTCCCAAAGCCGTGCTTAGAGGGACTGTCACACACATTCTAATGTTTTTCTACTGGCTTTCAGGCATGCACCGTGGCCTAGGAGTAAACAGGACAGAAAGCTGTGATATGTTGTCTCATTTACTGTCTATAAAACCTTAGAAATACTCTTCAAGGACAGGTGGGTATTAGTTTAGTTTTGTTTAAAAGAACCATTTAGCCCTAGCCAGTGTGGTTCAGTGGATAGAGTGTCAGCCTTGGACTGAAAGGTTCGGGTTCTATTCTGGTCAAGGGGACATACCTCAATTGCAGGCTTGATCCCCGGCCCTGGTAGGGGCATGTGCGGGAGGCAACCAGTCAATGTGTCTCTCTCACATCCATGCTTCTCTCTCTCCCCCTCCCTCCTACCCCCTCTAAAAATCAATGGGAAAATATCCTTGGATGAGGATTAACCTAAATAAATAAATAGAAGCATTTTGCACATTATAATCTTAAGTTTTGTCGTATTCACTGAGTAATCTTAAATGTATATAATTATGTTTCTTTGATAGATAAACTTGCCTCTGAAATCAATGAAGATTTTGCTAAAATAAACATTGTATAAAAGTCACTATGATATGTTAATTAGGGCTTCAAAATAAATAAGCAATAAATTTTAGATTCTTGTTTTCTTCAGCACTAGACTTGTAACTAGAACCAAATGTAACTCATATAACAAACCAGGCTGCAAGTCTATGCTGTTTAAAACGTAAGTTCTTAACTTACTAGTATCTTGGAAGAATTGATAATGAATTATTATCATTTTCAGAAGTGTTCAGTGGATCCTGGTTTGTTGGATGCCTTACTAAATTATCATTTTGTAGCCCCATTAAGAACACACCAAGGGCCCCTGGCTGGCATGGCTCAGTGGTTACAGTGTCATCCTGCACACCTGCCTGGGTTACAGGTTCCATCCCTACCTGGTCTTTGTCAGGCAACCAACTGATGTCTCTCTCTCTCCCCCCCACTCCCACCTCCCTCTAAATATCAATGGAAAAAATATCCTTGGGTGAGGATTAACCAAAGAAAGAACACACAAAGATAAGAAATCCAGTTTCACTATGAAACACTTTCCCCCATTAAACATCAGCTGCTTACAGGGTGATCTGGTATGGCTACATTTCAGTCCATTGAATGTTGAGCTGGAAATCCTAAAAATGCTTGAGGAGATGAGGTGAGTGACTTCAGTGCATTCCAATATACAAGCTTACCTGCACCCTATGAAAGTTTAAGGTCCTAAAATGGACAATATGAGTGACTTCAAGATAGAAAAATAATGCAACACTACATTTGGGCCAGCAGATGTCTCTCTGAAGCTCATGACACCAACCAAAACACAAGGTATGGAAGATACCCTCCCGTTACTGAGAGTCTGTGACCCCTGGACCAGTAAGGGCATGAGTTGTGAGATCGGACTATAAGATTAGTTATGTTTCTGAGAAATTGAATATGCAGAATCCAAACAAGTAAAGGAATTAGTGAAAAATAAGTGTGCTACTTTTTTTAATATTATTTAATATGCAAGATATAATAGTACAGAGAAATCTATTTCATTCAAAATGGTAAATAAAATGATTCCTGGCCAATAGTCAGGAGAGAAATGTCAAATGTCAAACAGAAAAAGTGTTGAGGAATGAATGGTATGTGATAAAATAGAAACAGCAGCTTAGTTAGAAAAGGGGAAAGCCTGAGCATAAGAATTAAGTTAAGGCAAGTTTGAGGGATTTTAGGCATAAAAGAGACTTGCACACATTACTACTGAATATGGAGAGGAAGGCATATTCCTCTCCATACCATAGCATGAAAATATTACAAGATTGTCGAAGTACAACTGTCTAGTAGGTTCTGAAACCTATTTTGAGTTGCATTAAAAAGAAGAGAGGATAGTCATGGTGGTATAAAGTACAGCATAAGGAATACAGTCAATAATATTATAACAACTATGTATGGTGTCAGATAGGTACTAGACTTTTCGGGGTGATCACTTCATAAGTTATATAAGTATCTAATCATTATGCTGTATACCTGAAACTAATATAATGTTGTATATCAACTGTGATTAAAAAATAAAAAAAATTTTTAAAAAAGGAGAAAAAAGACAAAAAAGAAAAAGTGATAGAACACAATAGACTAGAAAATTCTATCCCAACTCGCATATAGTATAGGTATTATTAGGGGAAACCATACATTCACATGTACCAACATGTGTACTGGGTCCTGATATAACACAGATTCTTCCCGTGGGCACCAACAAACAGGTTTGAAGGCCACTGACACCCTGTGGGCACCACCAGTGCCCACCTCTCTCAAGTTAATAATGTCATCTGTAATGCCACCAGAAAGAAAGGTGACTTCCAAAATCCCAGAAGAAAAACATGGCAAAACAGAAGACGACCGAGTGTTTAAAATGAACTTGGTATACTGTGAAACAGGAGTCGGGGGAAGGGAGATACAAGCTGAATGCCAAGTAGGGTAATGTCCAACTCTATGAAATCGGACCTTGGGCCCCATCCCCCACCTGGCGTCTTCTCCCAACCGGAGTTCAGCGTGCTCACGTGATGAGAAAGAGCCCAGGAGACGGAAGAGTCAAAGAGGAGAGGGAAGGTGGGACGGCCAGCATCACTCCGGCCTGCAGACCCACGTCTCCCCGCAGTGAGGTAAAAAAGGCAGGAACTGGTGCTGGTGCAGATCCAGACAGATGGGGACAGTGAGGAGAGAGGTGACAGGTTCGACTCTGCAATCTCAACACCAAGCCCAGAGCCTGGCACATAATACGGCCCTTGTAACTGTCCGGTGAACGTGCTAGCAGATCTCAGCAGCACCAACAGTTTTGTGACATGAAGTCAGTGCCAGGCAGGGTCAAGAGTTTGAACCTTCCTATTCCAAGTTATCATTGCTACCACCAGAGAAGGTGAGGTTGTCCTGACTGTCGTCCTCTCTTGCTCTCCAGAAGCCACTGCAGCGACTGTCTGCAAACTGAGCCATTTCCCCCAATGATAAAGAACTATCACTTCACGAATGTTAAAGAAACGTGTTTTGTTTCAAAATTGAAATGGATCTAACACTTACAAGGTCATTTTGAATGAGTGCTCAGAAGCAAGACAAATGGGAGTTCATGTGCTCACGGTGCTCCAGGATTAAGAAATCCCGTTTCTCAGGCCCTGTAACGGGTCACACAGAAAGCAGGCCAGAACATACCAACGATGCTCACAACTTCTTTAGGTGCAAATGGTTCGTTTTTGTTGGATAGTTTTTGGTTATATGACTGGTTTCTTTTGGGCTCAGGTACATTTAAGAACTTAGTAACAGCAAACACTTATACAGTATTTACTATGTGCCAGGTACTCTCTGAGGACTTCACAAATACTAACTCGCAAAAATTTGACTAATGCATATACATACCCTGCTAACTTCGGTTACCTGTTCGGTTGATCCCATTCCATTAAAAGTATGTTTCTTCCATTTTTCTCCTGCAAAAGATGAGGAAAACACTGTTGGTGAGTATTCACAAATGCATAATGCATTTCATATCACTGTTTGATATCTTCTGAACTTGAGAGTACCAAAAGGGCTTCATTAAACTTCAGCCAATTAGTCCAGCTGCCTACCTTGACTCAGTTCCTAAACAGAACATTAAGACAGTATCATTATATGTAGAGATAACAGGATATTTGACAAATACCTCATAGTCTCTAAAGAAATCAACACACATAATAAAAAGTTAGATGCACAGAGAACCAAGCTATATAATAAAAGCCTGAACAACCATTACAGCAGAACGACCAGAACCACCGGTCGCTGTGATGCTCACTGACCACTAGGGGGCAGATGCTAAATGCAGGAGCTGCCCCCTGGTGGTCAGTGCACTCCCACAGGGGGAGCGCTGCTGAGCTAGAAGCCAGGCTCACAGCTGGCGAGTGCAGCAGCGGTGGTGGGAGTTGTGGTGGTGGGAGCTGCAGTGGTGGGAGCACTAAGGAGCAGCAAGCAGGCGGGCGGTAAGGAGCGAGGGTTCCCGGACTGTGAGAGGGATGTCTGACTGCCAGCTTATACCCACTTCCCGCAGGGAGCAGGTCTAAGCAGGCAGGAGGACATTCCCCGAGGGGTCCCAGACTGCAAGACGGTACAGGCCGGGCTGAGGGACTCAATCCCCCTCCCCGTGCACGAATTTTATGCACCAGGCCTCTAGTCTATAATAATAGAAGTGTAATATGCTAATTAGACCAAATGACCTTCCGGAGGAAGGCGTCGGCCGGAGGGAAGCCCAGGTCCTGGGTGTGCCAGAGGGAAGCTGGTGCTGGCAGCCAGGGGAAGGAAGGCCTACTCTTGCATGAATTTCATGCATCAGGCCTCTAGTTTATAATAAGATTCTCCTTGACTCTGAATCCTTCTGCATTTAATTTGCCTTTTCAAACTACACGCCCTCTGAAGATCTTCTTTAGGTGGGCAGCACCTTTCCCCACTGGATGAAGTAATTGCTGTTCTAAAGGTAGAAACATTTGGTGGATGTAGCTATTATAGAGTCACTTAAACTTTTTGTAAATGATCATGGAAAAGCATCATTAAAGGGAAATGTTGCCTAGGAAAGATAGTTGTTCAGAAGTCTCCACCAGGTGACATCGGAGAATTCATGATGTCTACATTCTGTGCCTCAACTCTGCTGGTTCCAAAAGTGATCAGATCCAAAACTCACTGTTTCCAGAAATGATCATGCTTATCAATACTGCCTCATGCCAACAGAGCTCACAACAGACCAACCCACACAGAAAGCCATAATGCCTATGTACTCATTTACAAGGAAACATAATTGTCAGACAGCCTGGACATTAGCTCCCCCCAGCTTGACTAATGTATCACATTTCTCTAGTCAACAAATACTCCTAAAATCCCAGGTGTAGGCACCTCACTGGCAGGTCAAAGATCAAGCCAAACTAGAGAAGGTTGTTCAGTGAGCCCACCAGAGCCATCACAAGCTGGATGCCAACGTCCTCCGACATTCTCTCCAGACCAGCTGCCACCACCCTTCTGGACGAACACAAAACAACTCTAGTGGTTTTCCAGCTTCCGCTCTTCCCTCCCTCCCACAACGCGTCCAGAGCAATCATTTAAAAATAGAAAACAGACCACGCCTCTGCCCTACCAAAACCCCTGTAATGCTCTGCGTCAGTCCTGTGATAAACACCCAGCAGTGGACGTCAGGCCTCGCTCTGGCCCTGCTCTCCTCTCCCACCATCTCACACTTCAGCCACTCTGGTCTCCTTCTACTCCCTGGAATGCACAAGACCCCTCAACACCCTGGAGATGGTGCACACCTCTGTTTCCTCTGCCCGGAAGTGAACGCACACACTCTGCCCCCTCCCTCCAAAGCGCACATATGCCTAGTAACCTGCAGGTCCAAGCTCAAAGGCCACATGACCTCAAGACTAGGACAAAGCTCCTACAGCACCTTCACCTTCTCCTTCATAGCACCTGCCACCGTTTATAATCCCACATTTCTGTGGTTATTTAATCTACATTTCTCTCTCTCACTAGACCATCAGAGGCTCCATGAGGGTGGACACTGCTATTCTGTTAGCACGCTGCAGAGGAGTGGAGATTCAAGAGACAGTGTATTGAATGAGTGATGGCTCTGGGCTATTAGAATCTGTTGCATCTATCGCCACGACGGGGATAATTCCGCCAGGCAGACCACATGGCTCCCACGGGTGGGCTCCATCCTCCGCAATGGACACTCCCACGTCTGGGGTGCCAGAAACTAGATGAGCACCAGCCACATTCACTTCTGTAACCTTTGTTTTCTAGACTTCCATGGCCAACGTAAATCTTGCCATGCTAAATGAGAAATACAGCACAAAGTTCAAGATACATTTGGAGAGCAACTCTGCAGAGAGACTTGTGGCAGGGGGTTACTAAGAAACACTATAAACAAAAAGGAAAACATAAGTTGCAGCCAAAGGAAGTCCTTGGTGAGACAACACTGGCAAACAAATACACATGCAGGCAGGCGCGCCCAAAGCAGTAGTCCTCAGAGGAGGGGGCATGGGGGCCGAGTTGCTGTGGGATGCTGCCACAACCAAGGGGCTGACAGCGGGCAAGTGTGAAGATCGCTGAAGGAGGCACCTCCTCCTGTCCCCAGGCCCGACTCTGCATGCCTGGCACACAGGAGACCTGCTGTGTACCAACTGTGTCCTCCCATTTGCCTTACAAATCAACAATTAATTGGCCTTCCCTAACTTACCATGTAGAACGGTTTAAATGGCTCACAGCTGCGGTTAATATTTTAAAGATGTTTTCTGACATTTCAGTCCTTTTGTGCAATGAGGGTGAGGACAAAACTGGTAGGAAGAAGCCCCACAGTGCATTCGGCTCTAAATTCATATCTAGTCATGGGGTTGAAGAGGGCCAACTACACTCGTTCATTCAACAAACAGTATGCACCTTGACTAAGCCAGGCATTGTTCTAAGGGTGGGGGCACACACTCAACAAGACAAAACCTCTTCTTTTCAAAGAGGTAACATTCTTAGAGAAGACAGACAATGAACATTTATTAAGTAAAATATAGGATATGTCAGGTGTGTGTGTGTGTGGAGGAGGGCATTAAATTTTAAACAGGGCAGTCAAGGAAAGCCTCACTGAGAAACTGGCACATGAGCACAGACCTGAAGGAAGTTTGGGGGCGAGTCGTGTAGACATCTTCAGATGGTTCCAGGCTGACATCAGGAAGTGCCAAGGCCCTGAGGCAGAAGTGTGGCCTGTCTGACTGGGGCATGCAGTGGGATTCTAGGCACGATGGGCCTTTGGCTTTTATTCCGAGAGCCAGCGAACACAACTGAGATGATTTGGGCAAAGGCAAGTATGATCTGGCTGCTATGTTGAGACAAGACTAAACAGAAGGCAAGGGAGCAACAGCAAGTCCAGGTACTGGGCTACTGAACAATCCAGGCAATGAGATCGCAGTGGCTCCAACTAGAATGTAGCAGAGCCTCTAAAAAGCTAATGGAGTCTTCATGGAACTTGAAGGAAATGCCCTTATAGTCTTAATCCTTTTACCACTAAAAGATGTTGTTGTTGTTTTTTAATTGTTACTTTTAAAGAAGAAAACCTAGTGGATTTTTATCTACTACAGAGTAATAGCTGATCACCACAGATAGTGGAAAAGGTCAAACAGGCCCAAAAATCTTTGCATCACATTATCAAAGAACTGAACACGTGAGAACTTGTGTTAATGGTTAAGTACTTGTTATGATATATTATATCCGCACTTTTTGTTTACTCTGAAAATAAAAGGCTCCCCTAGGTAAGGAGAAACATCATCCTATACGTGTGACTGTGATAGCTAACGAATTATTTAACAAAAGGTTTCCCACTTGACGGTCTACTGATGTACAACAGGATAAACCCACAGGTGTTGCTATTCCAACAGGCCCCAGCCAGTCCGGTCTAGTCCTCGCCTCTGTCCGCAGTGCCCGTCGGGGCTGAGCCCAGAAGGTTCCTTCCTGGCACATCATGGAGGAAGCAACACTTTTCTGCACAGACCCTTTTCCTTGAAAAAACCCATGAGGGTAACACGATGTCAAGTGAAGAAGGGACATGATGGAAGTCTAAAAAGGAAATTAAAGTTCCCTTTTTATTCTCTGCTCTATGGTTAATAGGGGGGGAGGGGGAGGGGTATGGATGGACCTAGAGGTATTATGCTAAGAGAAGGAAGTCAGACAGAGAAAGACAAATGCTATATGATTTCATTTATAGGTGGAAACTAAACAACAAAACAAACACAGAAATAAATTTATATAGAGAACAAATTGTTGCTTATCAGACAGGAGGGGGTTGAGAGGACAGAGAAAGGTAAAGGGATTTAGGGGTACAAATACCGAGCCATGAAAACAGCCCAGGGCTGTAAAGTGCAGCACAGGGAATACAGACAACAATATTGTAGTAACTCTGTGAGGTGCCTGGTGGGTACTGGAAATATCGGGGGAGGAACTGTGTGACTGTCTAACCGCTAGGCTGTACACCTGAAATGGAAACGAAATAATACTGAATGTCAACCGTACTTTAGAAACAAAACAGCCCGGCTGGTGTGGCTCAGGAGCATCGACCTATGAACCAAGAGGTCACCAGTTCGATCCGGGTCAGGGCACATGCCCGGGCTGTGGGCTTGATCCCCAGCAGGGGGTGTGCAGGAGGCAGCTGATAGACGTTTCTCTCTCTCTTCCTTCCTCTCTTTCTAAAACATCAATAAAAACACGTATTTTTTAAAAGTATAACAAAGTAAGCACAGATAAAAGTGGAAAGGAAAGAAAGTCTTTACTAGGGGAGACCACTGCCTGTAACTGCCATCACGGCAACCTTGGAAAGCTCCGGGGCAGGGAGGCAGCTCCTCCTGAGACATCAGGCCACGGAGCAAGTCCTCCGTGCGGCAAACACCCGTCCTCCCCGAACAGGACTCTGCTGTTGAAGCAAACACCATCG